AATTTCAACGTAATTGCTTTTAAATTATTGGGTAATAATTAATATTTCTAACAGAAAATTATCGCTACATGAAGAAAAAACTTTAACAACCTTATTTATAATAGAAACCTCGAAGCCTTCAATTTTTCTTTTAATGGAATAGCAAAATGTTATATTTCCTTAGCAAGCGCCTTTAATTATAATTATAATTATAAAAAAAATGATTATTTAGGGCGTTATTGTTTATTATTTTAGTTTTTCGTTACAAATTTTAATTTTAATTTTATAATCTATTAAAAGATTGTTTTCTAAAAAGCACTATTTACCCATCTCTTTAAATAAAAATTTCGTACTGTTTTAAAAGTTTTTTAATTTACTATGCTCCTCTAATTCTTTAAAATATCTACGTAATCGATTAATGTTTCATAATAAATATTTTTTACGTTTTACTTTTATGTAATTTACATTACAATATTTTGTCCGCTTTCCGTGCGTTCTCCAGTCAAAAATTGAATAAGTTATTCCTTTTATTCTTTTTAAGAAATATAGAGACGCGATTATGGGTCGCGTCATGGAATTTAAATAATGTCGCTAATGTCGCGTAATTCTGAAACGAGTGCCAAAACGAATGTCAAAACAAGTGCGAGTAACAATGCGAATTCGTGGAGATGGTGTCGAAAATCGGTGTCCTGAGTGTTTTCTCTCTACTGCCAAAGACATCACAGTGTGACCATCACGTGTCGGCACCCGGAAAGTGCAGCTGGCGTTTATTGTCCGCGTCTCTATGATGTCTCGTCTCGTCGAGAGCTAAGGTTAAGCGACAATTTAACCGCGGGAGCCGATTCGTGTTAATACAATGGACGATCGGTATTCTGTAGTCCTGGTTAAGGATGTGCAAATATCGTTACTGCAATTTTTCATCTTCGAATCTCGTACTTTGCTCCAACCTTTACACTGGCAAACTCCATTCTCGAATTTGTGCCGCGCCATTACAATTTATTTCAAAATTTAATTACTCTCACAAAAATTATTCCAAATTTAATTAATCTCGCTGAATTTTTATTTCGAACTAAAATTTTTTCTGTTCCGACACCTTCTAGAAAATAATTTCTAACGGCAATGCTATTAGGAACATTTCTGAATTAAAAATTTCTAATTCTAAGAGTCCTTATTTTTATATCTATCGAGCCTTGTCCGATTGCTGTCAGATTGTCCTTTTATAATAGTTAAAACGTAGTAAACATCACTGTACGAAGTATCTTTGTCCGTAATAACTGTTTTCGAAAACGTTTCATTCTTCTTGAAAACAGATCCGCCTCGAGGAAACATAGTTCTTGTTTGTTATTCATTGGCAGCGATGTTTCACGATAACAATCTTTGCCCGGCAAAGATCACTTTTTACACCCCAAGCAGCGAGAAAATGAACTCAGTCACGGTAATTTTCTTCGTTCATTGAGAATACGTACTTACTTTTTACTTTTCCCTCCTTTTTTCCATGTACGTAATGATTTCAAATATTAATAAATTGTAAAACAATCAACACCATATGTAGTTACAATAATTAACGTTTTTTAATTGAGAGTCAGTTGGAGTAAAAGAACTTCAGACGATCGCGTTTACGCAAAAAACAAAACTAGATAACTAAGTATTACTGAATTATTAAAGCTCAGTCTATATGGGGCAACATCATATTTTATTTCACGCTCTTTAATTTTACGTAGCGTCTCACGTATAACGGTATTGCGACGCGCCAGACGTCACAAGTGTTTCGACATTCGGTGAACCATTTTTCATGGGCGTTTTCAAGAAGAACGCAACATGTTGAAGATCAAGCATGACCCACAGTTGTCACACATCAAGATATTTAATTTATACCGATTCCTCCAAATATTTAAAAAGTTGGATCGATGTATTAAAAATTTATTCTCTTCAAGGAAGTATTAGAAAGTGTATTAAATATTCTGTGAACTTTAGAATATCCCACATTTTGATCTCTCTGATAAAAGTGCTCGCTACTCTGAAGGCAATTTGTGTCGGTCAATTTAAAAAATAAGTCGGAGACCTCGGCACACAGGAAGCGGACACTTTTCGTTCCATTTTGAGTGTTCTAGATAATGATTAGCGTTACATACATGCAATGACGCGCAATTGCTACTGATAATAATTATCACAGATAATTGTAAATTTTCTTGGATATCTTTAGTATCTGGCTAAGTTAATTCTTCTTAAGCTTAACTAATTCGTAAGATTTCAATCTCACATGATATTGCGACACGCGCATTTGCTCGTAAGCCCGACTACGTATCAACTTGACAAAGCTTTGATATCTGATTTACACATTTTTTAATTGCGTAGCAATTGCTTTTTTTTCTTGCACGATATTGCATTGTTTTGTATCATACATATGTATATTGTACTATACATACAACACATATGTATATGTACAATATGTATATAAAATTATATATTATTTACTTAAAATGATAAAAATAAATAAAATTTTTAATATGTAATCATACGGCTGCAAAGAACAAAAGGTTAAGAATCAACTGCCATCTAGAAGTTTGCCTGGCTGTCAGTGTTGGATGGTTAGCTCATAATACATTAATCTTCTTATTTATTATTGTACAGGTGTTGTTGTAGATATTGTATGAACATTTATAATACAACAATTTATTTAAAAGCCGTACTTCCGCAGTCATCATTTCTGTTCAATTATTCGTGCAGGTGATAACCATGAGAAAAAAAAGAAATTTTGCAACTATGTATACATATGTTACAAAACGATGTCACGAAATGAAACATCTGGATGAATCATGAATTTAACAGGAGCGCGAATGATTAGTGTGGACTCATTGTTCAAATATTTATATTAGTAATGCCTGTACTCCATAATTGCACCGTCGTCAGGTTTCTATTCGCAGTTAGGAAAATTTACTTATAGAGCTACCTCTAATTTATGCTTTAATAGACCTTTAAGATTAATTTTATAAATAATAATCACAATTTTTATTAACTTTATAAAGTAATATAAGTATAACATTTTAATAATATAAAAACTGAATGTGTGTATTTATTTAATATGTATAAAATAAATTTTTTCTTTATCTTGTTGGTTTGCCAAGTGTGAAAAAATTGCTCTATGGACAGGATCACTGATGTGCTATAAACGATACTGATAATTGCCTATCGAAAATCGATATCAACAAAGCAAGTCGATAATATCACGTCTGATAACTGCCAAGTATAGAACGTGATGTGATCAGTAGTTGCAAAACAGTAGATACCCTAAGTCGATAACTGAAAAGTTAGGTTAGGTTACCGGCTATAAATAAAATGGTCTCTACTTTATCTGCAGTATGCTCGTCAGGTTTGCGAAATTGACACTCGAATACTCTGCTAGACGGCGTCAAGATGGTAATTTTAAAACGCGTTTCCTCATTATCAAATCGTACATAAATTAAGAGTCTAAACGCGTTATAAAAACAATAGAAAAACAATTTAAAAGAATTAAAATGAAATTTTATTATTAAAAATTCTATGTTTTAGAAATGTCTAACACTGAATTTTATTTGTAATATAAAATTGCATGGCATGCAATACCATGCAATTTAATATGTACATATGTATATTGCGAAATGTATACATAGTATAATATGTATATTGAAAAATTTTATTTCGGAATTAATTGTATCTACGATAGTCATCTTATCTTTAAAACATCAAAATGATTAAGTAAAAGTCGCCAAATATAAGTTTTCGTTTAATAAACCGTGACTCTGCGGATTATTTCGACAAATATGTCGGACCTGATAACACAGTTGACATATTTCTTGTTTTATCCACAATAAAGCGGTTTCATTAAGAGTCGTTTGTATGGACGCAAGTTAAACGAAAGATTCGCCGGGCTTATTTATTTATTTCTGACGTAATGCAACGTGAGCGAGAATCCGAAGATAAGTATAGAAACGTAAAAGCACCAAAAAAGTTACCGCAACCTCCGTGTTATGCTAATTTTTAGAAAAATACGTTCATCAACAATTTAGAAAATCTGTTTAACTAATAAACACCTATTCCCACTAATCTATCCTCGCCTCCTCGCCGGGAGAACGAGGGACTTTAAAGAGCTCGATGTACCGAAAGCTCCGTTTGATAGATTAAGTCATCTTTACATAACGCCGTCCACATGCTTATATAAACTTTTCTTTATTTGATGATCTGAGAAATCAGTTCCTATGTAGATTCGGCGTGACTCACTACGCCGAGCGGCAGCGCAAAAACCTGCATCAGCTGCACATGTGTATATGCGCGCACATGCATCGGCCATTGCTGTGACAGCTGGTCTGTCGCAACCAATATACAAACTGTACTTGGGACCGATCTTTATTACCCGAGATCGGACACGCGTTCCCGCGGCGTTCTCGGAAGGAATTGCCTTCCCGATCAATCACTCACCGCCGCCGAGTAATAATGACTTAGAAATATTTTCCGCGACACACGTTCGCGCGCTGCGAAAATAACCGCTTCGACCGGACCGGGTGTCTTGGTGGTCGTGCCATGAATATTTGGGTACGGTCGATCGAACATATCGAGCGCGGATTCAGACGGCGGGCACGGCGGTCGCGCGAGTGCATCAATCGGCGGGTCACGCGCGTTAATATTTTAGCATCAATCTTGCCGCTCACTCGGGAACTGGACCAGTCGACCCTGGACCAAATCCCGACGAACATGGCTGGCGAAATGTCTCCTCACGGATTCCCAGTTCTAGCGCGATCTCGCACGAGCCTTCCGTTCTTTCGGTCTTGTCTTGCGGTTTCCTTTTTTTCCCCCCTTAATCGTCTTCGCGATTGGAATGGCGAACACCGAAATAAATCCATCGTCGGATTCGCAGCCCGCGTAGCGGAGGGTCAATTTTTAAGACACTGGGAATTTTAGGCCAATCCCAAATTCGCGTGAAGGAGACGAGAGAATTTAAAGAACGCGTGGTCCCATTTCTCAAAGAAATGCCGTAAATCACTCACCGGTATCGTTGTCGTGCCCTTGATGCCCATCCCCCACATCCTCTGTGGCTGTGGAAAGTGCTGCAACAGATAAGGAAAGAGAAGAGTGAGATCGGCATCGCACGGCCGTTTTAGAGGGACGCGGCGACGGGGAGAGAGGGCAGAGGGGGGACAGAAAAGAGCGAGGGGGGCGCGATTATTAATGCGGGTCGCGTCGTAAAGTTTACGTGCCCTCGAGACGATCGCAACCTTCCACGTTGACGGACGGACGTTAAACTATAAGCATTCAGCTGTATTCCAGCCCCGCGACAATTAACCCTTTGACTGCCGGAATAATTTATGCGGCGTGACCTCTGACTTGGATCTGGGTAGAAATATGAATGCGAAATTAGGCTTGTTTGCGTATTTGATTCTTACGACAGCTTTAATGCAGCGAGATTAAATACAGCACGCCTCAAAATCGCCGGATGCCGCGTCAGCGGATCGTCTGGTCGATTTAAAGTCGGCTTTTCTCAGCGAATGTGCCGAGGCGGTCAACAATTTTCGAGTCGCGAACGACCGCTGCTCGTTTCTACCTACGTAGTTTGACTTTAGTCTCGGTTCGACTTGCTTTATATTTTTTCCTAGTTTTAGGAACTAGGAAAAAGATAAAAAATAATGTAAACCGAGATTAAAGTTAATTTGCATTGGTAGACACGGGGATAAGAGAAACGGGTTTTTTGACAAACTTAAATCCTTTCGGGAAGCCAAATGCATGAACTTCTTCTGTTACCTCAGTAAATTGAAAAAAAAATTAGTTTTAGTCAATTTCAGATAAAGCTTGTTTTGAATTTGAGAGTTACGAAAAACGAATGACTCGTCGGTATTCTTCGGAAGAAGCAGCGTCAAGGATTCTGTTACAAAAGAATTCATGATGGTTCCAGTACGTTTCAAGATCTATTACGTGAGTGTAGAGGGAAATCCGCTATTATAGGATAGGCTTCTAATACGAGATAGCGGAGTTTCCGTTAAATTAATAGGCATTATCTGTTCCCCTACGAATTTATTGCCCTCGGAGTGAAATCTGTTGAGCGGAAAATTGATTGTTAGATCGTGTAATCGTTGCGAAAAAAGATTTGTGATTGAATTTGAACGTTGAAAACCTACTATCTGATATTAGAACCCTATCTCATAATAGAGGCCTTTCCTCTATTTATAGCAGAAAGAATATAATATCATTTTATTTTTCAAGCAACTCTGACGCATTTTCACATAGACGACGATCGTTAAGAAAAAGACAGCGAGATAACAAAAGTTCTGACGATTAAATGTGACAACTCTGAAGTTTATGTGCACACCGCAACTCGTTTTATAAAGTCATGAGGACGAAGGTAAAATACCGAGAATTATCAAGATAAAGTCACGGCAACACAGTTGGTTGTCGCTTTGTTAGTTGTACGCAATGATTTAAAATTGTTATAGTGATCTAATCGAATAAACTATAATAAATAGTCTCAAACTGAATCTAATAGTTGTCATAATTATATTCTTTACACTGAGGCCTGGTTTCACCAAACGTCGCTTAACTTTAATCTTAGTTTAATTCATGTTTGTCTCAAATAACAGTTGGAAAGGAACAGAGAATGAATTAAGCTAATTGTAAGCTTAAAATTGAACAACGTTGGTGAAACCGGACCTTAGATATTTTCTTGAAATTAATGATTGTGGACACAAAAACATAATTTTTATATCAATACCAAGAACACAACCTTACAATAACGTCAATAGAGAGGTTTTGCAATACCGTCTCTTCAGATACGGTGAACGCTAAAGCGACGTTATTAAATTCTACGCATGCTCAGTTTCGTCAAGACGACGGTATTGCAAAAGCTCTCTATTGTGACTTTAAAATTGTGCAACGCGATTTTTAACAATTATTTTGGAGCATTCTAAACTTGGTTCTAGTTCTAGCATCGTGGACACAAGCCTTAAGTCACTTTGACGTCGCAATCCTTTATTCTGCCTGAAAACAATACTTTTGTTAATGGAACTATTTTTCATGGCCGTTTCCTTGTTCTCAATTCTAACTCCATTTACCACAAAAGCTACGTTTGTTTCGTCGATTCACGCAACTTATTCATTTCTTTTTTTCCAGAAACTTCGTAAGACATAATTAAGACGCTATTCAGCCTCAATTTTCTAGTTGCCGATAATTACTCTTCTCTCTGAGCGCGACAGAATGTCGCGAGATGGTAGGAACAATACTCGTCGCGCCAACCACACAATCGCATCTCTCAGTGGAGAACAATTTAATTTATTCAATTACGAGGCGGCGCATTTTTCGCTATTTATTCTCGATTGTTATTTACTCGATAGGCGCGAACACGCGTACTCGCACGATCGATCCCACGCGGTGATTGGAGAACAAGCGTTTGCTCGGTGACCCATTAAACCCGCAACCTGTTCCACGACAACCTACGTTGTAGATGTAAGCAATATCTCTCTGGAAGTTTCCTTCCAGTATTTACGCCCAGAAAAGATTGATCGAAGAAACAATCGTGGACTTCTCTAAGGCCCGGTTTCGCCAACGTTGCTTAACTATAGGCTTATTGCTAGTTTAATTCGTTCTTTGTCTCTTTCCAACTGTTACTTTATAAAGAGACAGACATGAATCAAACTACGATTAAAGTTAAGCGACGTTTGGTGAAACCAGGTCTAAGTAACTCAGGTTTACGAGGCGGTCGAACACGGCGGTGCACCGTACATTGTCTTTTTGGAAAACGATTACAAAAAAATCATGTACCAAAAAGAAAGACGAATATTATGTAACGACTGTGATTGACACGATTGTAAAGTTATACTAAACTTCCCTAAACGAATCTATTTATCTTCATCATCTTTTAACATATCATCTTTACAAATATTGAGATGAAATTCTATAGATACTAAATAGAATAAAACGTTGAGATACTATAAAAGTAGGGCTGTGTATTTATATACGAAGGGTTGGATGCCAAAATTAGGTGGCTTCACTGTTTTTATCAGAAATGAGTTATAACTCATATATACTTTTATTATTGCTTTAAAAAATACGAATTAAAGTATATGTTTTTTACGTTTACATGTTGCTAGGGCTAAATTCAAATGACTACGCAAGAGAAACTATAAAGTGCTAAAAATTTTCTTTAAAATTTACTAAAACGGAGCTGCCTGTTTCAGCCGTCGCTTCATGCAGTGTCAAAATGAACTGCGAAGAGGAAAGTCCCAGCGTGAGTACGCAAGGAACACCGGGCAAAATAAGCAACGGAGGATTCTCTGAACTCTAAACGGGACCATTTTCTACGTCAATCCACATAGAATGTATTTCCTGTAGACGCTAATGCGCTCTATCTCGACTAGCGCCGGGTGGAAAGCGCGTTAAAATCGACTGGCGGCCCCAGAAGAAAGTCAGTGTTAAACGTTGGACTCTCACTGTGATATAACGAGAACGAGACATACGGCGCGTCCGCAAAGTGGTACACCCGCGTCCCTAAACGCGCGCTCGTTAAACGCGCCCCGTTGCTCAAATCGCTCGCGCGATCGCCGGAACCGGCTTCCTGATAATTTACCGGAACGTCGCGCGACACACACACATACAGACATCATCATCTGAATATTACGGATTGCACCTGACACATTATACTTCGTCGCACGTGCACGTGACCGTCACGAGCGTGACCAGATGCGTCAGCGAATCGCACGCTAATCGCGTTAATTAACGAATCCGGGCTTTAAATGCGGATACGACCCGCGCGCGTGACGGCGTTTCCAAACAGTGGAATTATTACGTCATTGCGTATGGAAAAGTAATATTAGCGAAGACCCGTATGTATTACGACGAGTCTTTACCACAACCGAGTGGAAATCCAATGTTTTTTTTATTCGGTAGTTAAACTTCAGGAGTGTAAAATTTTATCTCAGTACTAACAATATTCTACTAACAATCTCATTAATCGTATACATGTAGGTATACATACATATAAATATATATTATGTACCAAATAATACTTTCGCTCGTGTTATATTTAACAACAACAAGTAAACAAAAGAGGCCAATTTTTACGAGCATAAAAGTTGACACAATGGGTTTGTTTTCTGTTCCTGCACTGGTGAACTAGTGCAGTAAGCTAGAATGAGAAAAAATATGCTTGTCTTACTCCAATTTATTGCACTAGTTCACTAGTGTAGGAACAGAAAACAAGCCTAATGTAATATATATTTTAAAAAAATTAAAAGTTGTTGCAAATTAAATATAAGATAGCGGACGCGTTTCAGCACACAGTGTTTTGAAAGCATCGGCGCAAAATCAAAATTAAATAGTTAAATCGCCGAGAACATAAGCGTCAATAAGTAATACAATGTATAATAGACGAAAGCACCGTGTGCTGAAACGCGTCCGCTATCTTATATTTTTATTGTAACAACTTTTGATTAAAAAAAAATATATATTACATTGTCAACTTTTATGCTCGTAAAAATTGGCCTCTTTTCTTTACTTGTCGATCGTGTTAAAGATTGATCGACATTTCCGTGGAGTTGTAATTAAAATTCAAGTACAAAACTATTTTTGTTATTTAACATTTTAAACCACAGATTCGATACTCATTGAGAAGAGTTTTGAAAATCTTCCTGCGTCTTCTCCTCCCGTGACAAGGTCAGAGCTACCATCAGTCGCAGTACCGTAGACGCGCGAGCCGAACGTGCTGCAAGTAATCAATTACACTATGACGTATGCAAATGAAAGGCGACTGTAACGACGGCTGTGTCCCCGTCTACTTCCTGTTGTCCACTTGGTATTTCTCCTCCCTCTTCTCTCTTTCTCCTCTTTGTTCGCTCTTTTTTCTGCTCTTCACTTCGCGATGCTCTCGCAACGACGTTCAGCGAGCGAGCGCGAACCAAAACCGCGAGTGATCGCGAGAATACGCGCGACGAACGCTGTTCGGCGTTCGAATATTTTCATACATCTTCGTACGTGGAAATTCATGCATTACTCCGTGTGTTAACCGATATCAACCGTGAATGCACGCTAAAACTGGTCCTTGAAACCTTGCGGTATTCACTTT